GCTTCGCGGGCCAAATGTAATTAGGCTGCGGGCCAAATTTGGCCCGCGGGCCAGAGTTTGACACCTATGATCTAGATGATGAGGATACATATTTACATTTCAAATATCTATATTTAAAAACTCTGTGAACATCTACGTGTAAAATTTCTGTGCTGTGTGAAAATAATACAAGCATCAGTGTGCAGCATAACCAGCTACTCTTTCCATGAATCATATAAATTCTAGTTTATGTTTAATGTAAATGTTAAAAAAAACCTGTCCGATGTGTTGATGCAGCGGCGGCTGCGGCGCGGGGAGCAGAAGATAAAGTTTGGCATTTACTTTGACATGAAGTTTAGGGCATTTTCCGTTTCACCTCTCATGCGGTCTGATATGAGGCTTTGAACGGTACAACTCCGATAACAAGCTCGGAGTGCCAGTGGAGAAACTCTTCAGGGCACCGTGACAAAGAGTCTGACGTAAAAACAAATTTAAAAAAAGGAAAAGAAAAAAAATCCTTTTGACAGCTGTCGACTTGAATCCTCCGGAGCAACCGCAGTTTCAACGTGTTCCTCTTTCACTCTTTGTGTCTGCTGTACAGTGTGATGAACGTGCATGATTGCATCCGCGTGTGTGCATATGAGGACATGGCACTTTGGTCTGGCCACCCATCAGATTTGCTGTTGCCCCCAGCAACAGTGTCACTCCTCGGTGGGTTCCATTGGTTACCTAAACATTCAATGCAGCGTGTATAAGCGAAGAGGGCGAGTGCAGCTGATCGCATTCACAGCACCGCGCTCACACGCGATCGCAGTTTCTCCTCCCGCTCGTCTGCTTGTTCCTCTCTAAAGTCTGACTCAGCTGATTAAAATAAAGCCTTTTAAGTCTTGTGAGATTAGACTGTTGTAGTAATGTTCACACAGACACTGTATGACTCACATAAAGAGCCATGTAGTTCAGTTTGTGGGTTCCAGCGTATGTTTCACAAACACAGTCCGGGCCGAGCAAACTGGTTTAGTCGTGGATTTGAGGTTAACAATCTGATCTTGAAAGCAAATTCAGACATTAAAGTTAAACTTTGTCAATATCTGTTGCATCCAATAAGTTACAGTTATCCCACTTCAGCTATTTATTCATCTTTTTGCTGCAAAATGAGCAACACTAGCACTAAAATCTGCTACAAATGATGCCATGAGATGAAGATGAAGATCAGCCGGCATTTTAATAGAGTCAAGTTGGCAATTACATCCAATCTGTTTGTGGTAATACGGCAATAAACTGTGATAAATCGTAGAAAATCACCTAT